TAAGTCTACCCATTAAAGTTCTAAGGGCTTAGTAGTGAACTAGGCTTGATCAAAATTTTGTCTAATAAGGTTTAGAAAATAATCTATAATTAATTTAAAACCTTTTACAACATTACAAGCCCATTCTTTAAAAATCAAACTAGTTAATCTTCTTATTTTAGTCAATTTGCCCCCTAAAGATATTCACTCACATAATTTATAAATAAAATATCAGGTGATAATTACCCCATCCTTAGGATTGGCTAGAACATCAACTCATTGAGCATAAGGGTATGAGAATGATGAGTTATTAAACAACATAATGAGTTTGAATGAACTTGAAGACTTTTCAAGGGATTGTGAAATGTCTGCGGCCCAGCCCCTGGACCTTTCTCATACTCTTTTGGATACCTTGAAGGACAATTAAACTCATTATGCATCGATTGAGAAATCATCTATACATTTAAATAAATAGGAACCACCAAGTTTTGCCATAGGATTCGGTAGGCCTGTGACGAACCTATCTATATGCTTTACTTTCCTGTAAATTATAAATGCTTACTACAAAAGATACTAAAGTTTTAGGTGGAGGAACGAGAAGACTCGACAAGTACGCTTTCATAGTTTACAATACCTTCTTTTCCTGCACTTTCTCTACTGTACTTGTCATGCTTATAAACTTGCATGTTAAAAAACAATGTCACCCTGCATGTCAAAACTAAAACTTTTAGGATAGCCACAGGACTAAAATCAAAACTAAAATCGAACAAGATAAAACTCACCTCTAAAATAGTCAAAATATAAGACAACTCAAAATTTAATCACAAACAAAACAAAACAAAAATTGCAACTAAATTAAACCCTCTCTATCGGATGATCGGGGATCCCTCGGAGGAGGTAACCTACGGTTGCTAACGAGATTTCCCACAGTCTAAATGAAAATATGGAACTCATTGAGTTGAGTTTAGTAAATTCATTTGGACTAAGTAAATCCGAAAGAAAATAGTGGTATCGAAATGAGGGAAAAGTAGGATCCTAACCATTTTCGCTCTAATCAACTTTAATATGCCCCATAATATTTAAATTCATGACCATATAAAACATTTGATTTGACATACGAACTTGACAGATTAGAAACTTAAACTTGCTACGACAGAGAGTTTGGAGCTAGCATTGTGGGCAGCACGACTATCTTCAACAGCAAGAGGATCTACAACAACATATCTTTCCTTAGAAATTAAATAATAAGCCACAGGATTTCGAGGTTGTCTGCCTAGTGTGACATAAATCATCACTTTTTCTTTAGGCTTTGTACAGCCCTGCTATACAATATAAGCCCTAACTCGTTTTAGGATTCTGAGGTTGTCGTTCGTTATGACCTAAATCATCACATTTTCTAGGCTATTTATGTGATAGTTTCACACGAATGAAAGCCTTAATTAATAAAATCGACATGATAAAATACTCAATAGTTTTATCTTCCAAATTGAAGCCAAACAGTAGAATAACTTGGGAAGTCACTGAGATTCTCCTTAAAATCTATGACGACTCCTAGTTCATCTTCTTTTAGATTCAAAAAACAAAATGTTCCAAATTTGAGTCATTCTCCTTTCACACTTCTTTGTCCGATCTCTTTGAAAAGTCCAATCCCTTTGAAATTTTTAAAGACAATATCCCCTGACTTTTATCGAGAGTTTTCTTAGCTGACTCTGGTTACCTAAGATATAATTAACTATAGGGGTTTGCCCTTATAGAAAGCTTTTCCGAACCCAGTTTAATATAAACCCTATTTAATCTTTCATATTAAATAGAGGAACTTGTCGGCTTATAATAAAATGGTTTCGCAGACAAACAGATGCCATATATTTCTTAGCTTATTTAATTGAGTTTCACCCTCAAGTCTTGTGTTTATCTTTTGAGATAGATACATAGCTTGAAGTGTAGTGCTCTTTCATCTAAACTTTGAAAGATATGTGATCAGTTTGATTTTATATTTTTCTAAACTTAAATATATATATAAATTAAATGTTACTCCGAAGCGGGCGACGGAGTTTCCATTACGACGACCGACAGCTTCCACAGGACGACCCTCCCCCCTAAAATTGTGTCGACAGACGCATTCAAAAGCCATCTGTTCTTCACCACCTTGAGATCATCGACCTTGAAGTGGTTCAACTCGCTTTCGGCAGGAAGCATAAGCAAATTTTTGGACTTTCCAAGAATTTTTTTAGCATAGTTTGCAAGCACTTAGAGACCCAAGAAGAGCGCATAGTCCTTGTGGTAGCTTAAACAACGAGCAAATGAAAGCCTAGATTCATACATCTTATAGTTTCAAAGGGCGATGCTAGAGGTGAAAGATTTCCAATCAGACATGGCACAGACTACCCTAAAGCAAGGCCTGAGGTCAGAGAGGTTCCGTTATAACCTCAGTTTGCATGAGCCACAGGGTTTGGTTGAACTATTGGAGATGACCAACAAGCACATCATCTTGGAGGGAGCATCCCCCAACCAAAACCGACAGACCGCCGAACTCAAAAGAGAGCCCCCCAAAATGATAGGTGGAAGCCAAAGGGGAATCTTAAGTTGCTTGTTCAATAACTATATGAAAACTGCCGACCCAATCACAATAACAGAGGTCAGAGTGGTTAGGTGACAAGTCGTGACCAACTACTAGTTCAATACTATGATAGTTTGATACATTACTATGAGCAGTCGTTCGGCGAATATGAGGGCCCTTATGCCACTCTGCTGAGGGTGCTAATGGCTGAGATTGTAGATGCCATCCAAGATAAGGAGTACTTTAAGTAGGCACCGCCAATGAGGGTTGAAGCCTTTCTCCAAGACACAATAAAGTACTGCAAGTACCACCGAGACCATGACTATGATACAACCATGACCATGATACTGATGAATGTAGAAACTTATGAAACCTAATCGAGGAGATGATCAAAGCCAAGAAACTAAAGGAATTTGTGGTGTTGTGGGACTCGGGTCAAAGGCACAGAAAGGCCTCGACAATGGAAGTCTCAGACAAACTTGTCCAAATGAATGTTTTTGATATCACCGGAATAGTCCCTACTATCGTTAGAGGAACATAATCTTCCAGGCGGGCCTCCTAGAAGAGGTATGGGATGGAGGAATTGTGCGCACCACTTCTATGTAGAGGAAAGGGAGCTGCTCCTCCATCATATTCACCGATGCTAAGTTGCCCCTCAGAGGAAATCCTTACAAAGAAGCCATCGTTGTAACGAGAAATAAGTAATTTTCAAGTCAGAAGTATCCTGATCGACATCAGTAGCTCAATAAACATACTTTTCAAGTCGGTGTTCAATAAGCTCCATCTTTGAGCCCCCCCTATATAACTTTTAATGAGAAATAAAGAGGCCCTAGTAGTAATGTCGCTGGCGATTACCTGGGGAGAGGGCGAGAAACAGTTCACTGATATGAAGGAACTGATAGTTAAACCCACCTATAATGCCATCTTTGGTCACTCCCTTCTGAAACACTTCAAAGTCGTGGTATCTATCTACCATGCGGCGGTCAAATTTCTAGGAGGAGAGGCGATCACCATCCAACGAGACTTGGAACAGTCTTAGGTCTGCTCCCTCCAGGGGTAGGAAGCGCGGAGCAGAAGCAACTTGACTTGCATAACTGGAGGAAAGGGGGTCTTGAGACCAGTGAGACAACCCCTGGAGATTCCCGTTGCCAATGAAGAGCCCGATAAAGCTTTTCTAACAAACGAGAATTTTGATGTAAGACACAGGGGACTATCTTTCAAACGCTTCAGGACCATCGAGACGTCTTCGCTCAGTCAGCAGCAGGATGCCTGAAATACCAGCTAACGACACCTGCCATTGCTTAAACGTGAATGTTGTCGTTCAACCAATAAAGTAGAGGATCATGAACTCAAAAATGGCATTGACCAGACCCAATAAGAAAATATACTAAAGATGAAAGAAGCTGGATACATTTGAAGGTGCATTTCCTCACCTGGGTCTCCAACATCGTCATGATTCAGAAGGACAATGGAAAGTTGCGAATGTGTGTGGATTTCACAAACCAAAAAATCACTTTCTCGAACGGTTGATACCCTATGATACGGATCAATGCCCTGGTGGATTTTGTTGTCCGCCACTCCAACATGAGCTTCCTGGATGCCCTCTCAGGTTACTTTCAAATAAAGATGCACCCGACCGATGTCGAGAAGACTGCTTTCATTACCGCCGAGGGTGTTTTCTATTATAATATAATGCCCTCCGGGCTCAAAAATATTGGACCATCATACCAACATCTGATAAATGTAACATTTTCTAATCAAAAGGGAAAAAATATATTAAAAATTATGTGGATAATGTCCTAGTTAAAAGCCGAACAGCTGAATTACAAATAAAAAATAAATAAAAAAAAACATTCCAACTTAAAAATTATAACATGAAGCTAAATCCACTAAAATGTACATTCGGAGCCTCAACTGGAAAATTTCTCTATTATCTCCTGTCTCTCAAGGGTATTAAGGCTAATCCAGGTAAAATGAAGGCACTGATTGAAAAGTCGTCCTCTAGGAACACCCAAGAGGTGCAAAAGTTGACCGACCGGATCGCAGTCCCAAGCCGGTTCATCTCGAGATCTG